AAATAATATTACACGCAAATAAAAAACTTTTCATTCCTTTTCAACTACACATTTTTCAAAAAAACACTATTCTAACCACTAAATTTGGAAAGAATGGGACCAAACGAGGACTTAATTAATAATTGATCAATTTTTTAATAAAAACGACAAGATTAATGCAATGTACACCTAATTAATAGACCCACGAGGTTCAATTTGACCATAAGACAAGGTAGTTAGTAGTTACACACGTTAAGTGGTTGTGTTATTAGGAAATGGGGGACTCTTAAAATGGCAGGTCAATTAAGAAAAATTTCACTTTTACTTGTTAACAAAGGAATATTATCATAATGGCCTATTGAGTGGTAAAAGATAAATATACCCTTAAATACATTATACAATTATAAAATATGATTTTATTTAAAAGACAATACTACCCTTTCAGTTAACAATTACAAACCAAACTCTGCCCACTTAAAGCATCAAAATCAGCTAACCTTTTTTATCTGTTTACTCCAACACAAATAAAAACACTCTCATCTTTCATATACTTTAACCACAAAACTGAAAAATTTATCGAACACAAAAATCGAAAAATTTGTTGATATCAATATCGCCAGATCGGTAAGTATAAATACGCTAATTTAATTTTGTTTTTGTTAAATTATTATACGTTTTAATTGATAAAATTTATTTTGACATATAATGTTAATGTAGATAAATTTTTTTAATAGATCTGTAAAAAAATTTAAGCATTTGACGAGAAAAAAATTCTTCTGCATATACGAAAATGTAGCCGGACAAGTGTGGAGCGTTAACAGCCGGTTGTTCGGCTGTTTTCAGCTGTTTACAATCAAACAACCGACTGTTAACATCCAGCTGTCCTGCCGGCTGTTTGGTTGGCTTTTTTTGGCTTTTTTTGACAAAAGAGATCAATGGATATGGACATGGACGAGCAATAGGCGTAGTGGTATCCCGATTTTCATAACATCAAATACATCATATGTCGAACTCTATAATGATTTACAGAACAAGCTGAATGTTGATCCTTCTAAATATGACATGAAACTGAAATTTAAATTCAACGAGTCTGCAGATATTCCGATTCCACCTATGATGATTCTTCTGATGTTGAAATGAATTATTTGTTTGAATTGAACAATAAGCACACGACTCCTCTTTGCATTACTTTAGGGAGGAAAGATGTCATCGAAGATGAACAAGTAGACTCCAATGATTTTTAGGATACGATGGAGATAGCTCATGAAAATGATGTGATTACTCCAGAGATAGTTGTGCACAGAATTTCCTCCGTAGTTCACGACAACGAGAATGAAAATGTAAATACTTTTACAAATGAGGATTTGATTGCTTTATCCTGACAAAGACATGAGCGGGATGGGACCTCAGGGGTTGAATCGAGTGAACTGTCCTGTAACTCCTCGCGTGTGGTTCCCGATAGTGATGATTTGTATGCCCAGCAACTATTTGAAATGAAGAAAAATTTGCAGAAAGTTGTGCACTTAATTATATTGAAATGCAACTTTGGGTTCAAAGTGAAAAAATTGAACAAGTATTTATTGACGATCGGCTGCGTAGACGACAGTTGAAGTTGGTGTTTGCGAACAAAGAAAATAGACACGAATGAGTGCTTTGTATTCTGCAAATATACACGGGAACATACTTGTGAAGTGGGAGTTCGTTGAAATGATCACAGGAAGCTCGAGCTTGGTTTATTAGTCGACAGATGATGTACAACAGTACAATTTTCAAGATCTACCGACCATTGGACATTATTAACGACATCCGTCGAGAGTATGAAGTAGTCATGAGTTACTAGAAGGCCTGAAAGGCCAAAGAATACACGTCGAAAGAGTTAATCGGTTCGACAGAGGAAAGCTATGCTAAATTGGCCAGATATTGCCATAATATGGAGAAAACTAATATTGGCTCGACATCTTTTATTGAGATGGAGGGCTAGAATTGCTTTAAATTCTTCTTCATGGCTCTTGGACAATGCATTCGGGGATTTCGAAATACTTGCAACCCTAATTCTAGTCGATGGTACGATACTGAAATCTAAATATCACGACAAGTTGATTATTGTTACATGTCAAGATGTCAACTTCCAAATTTACCCTCTTGCATTTGGCATAGTCAATAGCGAGAATGATCTGTCAATGCGATGGTTCTTCACAAAGCTGAGGAAAGCAATCGGGGAAGTCAAGGACCTTACACTGAAATTTAAATTCAACGAGTCTGCAGATATTCCGATTCCACCTATGATGATTCTTCTGATGTTGAAATGAATTATTTGTTTGAATTGAACAATAAGCACACGACTCCTCTTTGCATTACTTTAGGGAGGAAAGATGTCATCGAAGATGAACAAGTAGACTCCAATGATTTTTAGGATACGATGGAGATAGCTCATGAAAATGATGTGATTACTCCAGAGATAGTTGCGCACAAAATTTCCTCCGTAGTTCACGACAACGAGAATGAAAATGTAAATACTTTTACAAATGAGGATTTGATTGCTTTATCCTGACAAAGACATGAGCGGGATGTGACCTCAGGGGTTGAATCGAGTGAATTGTCCTGTAACTCCTCGCGTGTGGTTCCCGATAGTGATGATTTGTATGCCCAGCAACTATTTGAAATGAAGAAAGATTTGCAGAAAGTTGTGCACTTAATTATATTGAAATGCAACTTTGGGTTCAAAGTGAAAAAATTGAACAAGTATTTATTGACGATCGGCTGCGTAGACGACAGTTGAAGTTGGTGTTTGCGAGCAAAGAAAATAGACACGAATGAGTGCTTTGTATTCTGCAAATATACACGGGAACATACTTGTGAAGTGGGAGTTCGTTGAAATGATCACAGGAAGCTCGAGCTTGGTTTATTAGTCGACAGATGATGTACAACAGTACAATTTTCAAGATCTACCGACCATTGGACATTATTAACGACATCCGTCGAGAGTATGAAGTAGTCATGAGTTACTAGAAGGCCTGAAAGGCCAAAGAATACACGTCGGAAGATTTAATCGGTTCGACAGAGGAAAGCTATGCTAAATTGGCCAGATATTGCCATAATATGGAGAAAACTAATATTGGCTCGACATCTTTTATTGAGATGGAGGGCTAGAATTGCTTTAAATTCTTCTTCATGGCTCTTGGACAATGCATTCGGGGATTTCAAAATACTTGCAACCCTAATTCTAGTCGATGGTACGATACTGAAATCTAAATATCACGACAAGTTGATTATTGTTACATGTCAAGATGTCAACTTCCAAATTTACCCTCTTGCATTTGGCATAGTCAATAGCGAGAATGATCTGTCAATGCGATGGTTCTTCACAAAGCTGAGGAAAGCAATCGGGGAAGTCAAGGACCTTACATTTGTAACCGATCGAGGACCGTCTTTAATAAATGGTATCTTTGAAGTTTTTCCCGGAGTACGTCATGGGTATTCCATGTACCATATACAAGGCAACTTGAAGACTAAGTATCGAGGCAAAGACATCATTTCACTGTTCAGGAGAACGACCGAAGCTTATAGTGTTGAAGAGTGTAATAAGTTCATGGTTAAAATAAGAAGTAAATCATTCCAGGCACAGGAGTATCTAACGAAAATGGAGATTGAACATTGGGCGCGCTTGTATTTTTCAAGACGTCGATACAACAGGATGACGTCAAACATCGCGGAGTCTCTCGATGTATTATTCAAAAGGTATCGACAATTATTGATTTTAGCACCGATTGTGAATATTCGTATAAAGTTGCAGCAGTGGTTCCACGATCAACGTGCGAAATCACAGAGTTGCACAAGTGTGCTAGCTCCGGTGCAAAAGGAAAAGCTCTTTAAAGATGTAAATGTTGCGAGATAGTCGAATGTTGAACCACTGGATGAGTCGCGCTTCTCTATGGAATGTGCATATAATACGACATACATGGTGGACTTCACTGATGACTATGCACTTGTAAACAATTTCAATTAGAGAGCTTTCCATGTGAGTATACAGTCATGGTGGCTATTGATAAGTGTGTTTTTACACACTTATTTGGTTCACAAACATGACTTAAACATGGATAAAATGGTTGAATTGTGACTTAATCCAGTTAAATTCATGCATTGTAGGTAATTCAATGGAAATTGTGAAATTCAGGAGAAAAGAGCCGAAGAAGGACCAAAACGCAACAATCTGATAGTTCGAGGACCAAAGGTGCAAATATTGAAAATTTGAGCTAAATGCAAAACGAGAGTAGAAACATGCCAAGGATGAGCTCAATAACAAAGCAAACAAGTGGAGGAAGAAAGAATGGAAGATGGACTAAATTGAAGATAATTGAAAGTTGGAGGACTAAAGTGCAAATACTCAAAAGATGTGCCGAATGAGTGGCATAATATTTGAAAGTGTCGATCATCAATTGGAAGATAAGAATTGTTGAAAAGATGAAGAAATCGAAGAAAGAAGTCAAGAGAAGCAACAAAGAAGTTCAGGGACCAAATTGAACAAACCACATAGATGGTTACTTCTATGCGACCGCATAGTGTAACCTTCTATGCGGTCGCATAGAAGGTTTCAGGGATTAATTGAGAAAAAATATTTGATCTATGCGACCGCATAGATTCCTTCTATGCGGTCGCATAGTTCGTTTTTGAAATCTCGGGCGTAGTTTTTCGTTTTGGTTGAAACTCCTTTCCTACTCAATTTGGACGCGATATAAATACCCAAATTCATCATATGAAGGGCAAGAATGACCAGGGAGAAGAGAGAGACCAAAATTGGAGGCAAGAAACTTGATCTTGGATTCAATTTCACACGGGCTCGAGACGGGATTGAAGATTATACACACGGATTGAAGAAATTCCATACGGGTGTATTCTTATTATCTTTTAATTTAGTTTTTCAATTTCTTGATTTTGTAATGATGATTATAGGCTAGGGTTTTTGTTCATTAGGAATTTGATGAACCTTTTGATGATTTAAATTTCCGTTATTTCATAAATTCAACATTAGTTTCGATTGGACAAATGTTTGATTTATATGATTTGAATGTTTCCATAATTATTTGGCCAACTATTATGTGATTGTAGATGATTTATTCTTTGTATTCGAAAGAAGGGGAATAAATTCAATAGAATATAAATCGACATAGGGTCCGATAGGGGATGGAAACTTACCTCTATGCCTTATGCAATTCATGAAAATGTTCATAAAAAGTCATGCATTCTTGTACATTGCATCATCCATAGAAATATAGGCTGGTGGTGTGTAAGAGTAGATTCAATATATATCGAGAGAGTGTATTGGATAATTTAGGAATATTGAATTGGCATTTTGTTCCATCGACTAGTTGAATTTGTGAAATTAGGGTTTTTAATAGTCAATTGGGGATTCAAGTTCTTAATGATTTCATTTCAATACAATAGTTCTAAAATTGCATATTTACATTTCAGTTGCGTGTTTATTTCATTAGACTAGTGAAATTTCGAAATTAGGGTTTCCAATTTTGAAATTAGGGTTTTCTTTGCAATTAGGGTTTCAAATTGGGGATTTCTTCCAATTTTAGGGTTTTTCACATTTAAATCAAATTTTCATTCAATTAGATTCGGTTAAGGTCACATTAGTCTAATTAGAACTAATTCAATTCTCGTGGGAACGATACTTGGACTCATAGTCCATTTTACTACTTGTTAACGAACCTTACACTTACGGTGGGTTTTAAAATCGAGAAGAAATAATTTTGCGAACAAGTTTTTGGCGCCGTTGCCGGCGATTAAATTTTAGATTTAATTCTAACTTTTGTGACACTAATTCGAACTTATTCATTTTAGTACTTATAAATTTTATTAGATTTATTTAATTGTTAGTTTATATTGACTTTTTGTGTAATTTTGCCATATCAGGGCTTGCATGCAAGGAGCACCTGATCAAGACTTGGTCCCTATAGATCCAGAGATTGAATGCACATTCCGTCATAGGCAAAGGGAAGCAAGAGTGGTGCAACAAATGGCTAACGAGCAAAATCGACCGGAAATTCCACTCAATGAAGGTGTGGCAGT